TTCTTTCGTTAAAGGGAGTTTTGCCTCCCCACTGTCGCCAAGTGCTTGCTCAAGGGGGATTTGTTGGGTTTTCCCTATGTAATAATAATAATAATAATAATAATAATAATGATAAGGTCTAGACTTTTTTTTGTAAAGTGTCCTGAGACGACTGCTGTTGTGATTCAACGCAATACAAATAAAATTGAATTGAACTGAATTATACTTGTTACAAATACATGCATTTTGATAAAATCTTTACTTTATTCAGTATATTCAGATGTGTTCCTAATCTGAACACCTCATGCATGTAAATCGAGAAGCTGTAGTTAAGTATAATTTTGAGGTGTTTGTACTTTTACTGAAGTAGCCTCAGTACTTCTTCTAGCAGTGGCCTGCAGCCGCCAGCAGGAGGCGACACTTCCTTCACCACTTCTTTCTGCCTGTCTCACAGCACTGCATGACCTTTAATGATTCAGCAGGGTGTGTCTCTTCTTCCTTAGTCCTCCGGGATGAAAAAATAATCTGTCCATCATGAGACAAACAGTGAAAGACTAAAGCAGTCAGACCTGTTCTGGACCAGCGTAAAGGAAACGTGGAGTGGACACACAGCTGCTCTCACTGAGGATGCTGTGTTTGCTCAGTCTCTGCTTGTCTTTATTCTGTTTCTGCTGCACGTCAGCCTCATTCTGTGTGTTTCTCAATGATCTAGTCATCCCTGCTTCATTAACTGAACAGATAATGTAGGAAGTTCATTAAGCATTATTCTGTTAATGTGTCTGAAGAAAGAAAATAGGACTTTCTGTCAGGAGTACCACTGAAATGGTTCGTAACTTACATCTAATGAACACGCTCCTTAAATTTGACTAGATCCTGCCAAACAGGCACGTTAATACAGTATGGGATCAACAAACTGTATCGAGCCTCTTATGAACAACAAGACATCAGGAGGCAGATGTTCAAAGAGCGACCAATATCTGACAGCTAACATCAGACCTAAAATACATTTATAATAGTGGTCTCACGCTAAAAAGTCACAGCCATTCCTTTGGGCATAACCATGAAGTATCCAGTCAGTCACTTCAAAGCTGTGCCTCACGTTTCAGACCGAGGTGTCTGTTTCTGATCAACACCCATGTGTTGCAGAGTTCAAACCTAATTTAAACAATGTGTTTCAAAACTGTTGCTCAAAGTCAAAAGTGACAGCAACAATGAGCTGCATGTGTTCCTGCCTTTCCCACTGTCTTATCAGCTTAAAGTGGCTGTAATTGGTTTTTAATAATAATCAAATGTGAGAGTGCGACTAGTGGCGATGAACCCACAGAGGAGGATCCCTTGGCTCTGGAGCTCAGAGCTTTACAGCACCTTTCAGCTCATGATGACCGCTCTCTTTGGTGCTAGATGAGCAGTCAGTCATCCTCTGGGCTCATGAATGTCTGTACAAAACTTCATCTAATAGATGCTGAGACGTTTCAGTCTGACGTGGTCGACTGACTGACTGACCTGACGACCAATAAAACAACAGGGTTCACCAGGCTCTGCTGGTTGCAGCTGTGGATGAAGAGCTGGTAGCTGGTAAAAACCGACTGAGAATTTGGAACGGTTACAGATATTATTTAATGCAGGAGTTTAAAATAGCAGCTCGGGACAAGAACTGATGGTGCACACTAAAATCTGACTGCAGAAAGGTTACGGCAGAAAGCTGCTGTGGTTGTGGACGACATCTAACAAGGACCACAAACGCAGGGCTCTGGGGAGAAAGTCAAAACAACAGCCACAGGACTGGAGCTCCCTCCATGTCCTACACTGGACGCCCTGCAGTGTCCAGTTCCAACTTACAGTTTCACTTGTGGTGTTTATGTCTTCTAAAATATTAACGGAGTGAGATGGGATGCAAAGAGTTTCATGTTAACGTAACATAATGCAGAGATTTGGTTCCATTTAAGGTTCACCAAAAATAAATTCAAATGATTCAGATCTGTTTAGCAGAACTTGCCTGAGAATCACCAGATTTTTAAGGTTTCTTCTGTGTCTAAGTGAAATAGTGACAGATGTAGCCACGATCAGTACATCAGAGACATGAACTGCTAACATCTAATTCGGCAAACTCTTAATTATGCCAACTTGCAAAAGAAAACAAAAAACTAGTTATAAAAACATGGGGCTCAAGACGAAGCCCACAGCATCGTTCCACTGAATAAATGGCAAACTTCCTGTTTACGTCCCCCAAAGGATTATGGAACCTGTAGTTCCAAAACCTAGAGCAAGATTAGGCCCCAATTAAGAAGTAAGAAATCAAAATCACAGGTGTGACAAACTCCATGAACAACTCTGTACGCTTGGGAAACTGGGGGAAATTATGGATGTGATGTAGGAGGCAACACAGCAGCAACGTACAATGACTGAACCTGACTTTTAGTTCAGGAAAGGGCAGTTTTATGTACAAAGTTGATTTAAAAAGCCAAAACACAGAAGGTGCTATGGTGTAAAATGTAAAAAATGAGATAAACTAAAAATATTTGGAAGTTTATCAAAATATCTCTCTGGCCAAAACTAATTAAGTGAAATACACCTTTACTTGACTGTTGAAATACTTCCATGTGACATGCATGTATCAAAAAATAGACAGAAAGTTTAAAACATTTTACTGTATGTTTGTGTAAATATCACATGTATCCACTGCTGCCTAATTTGTGTTATGACAAGAATAAAGAATTAAAAATAAACTTGCCTACTTACAGCTTGTATACATTTCACAGTAAACCACATCCCAAGTCCCGCCTCAGAAAGCTCTGTGCAGCTGTTTTCATGCCTTACTGTAAACTCAGAGACTCTGAGGTCTGCTGACTGAGGTCCTCCTGCAGCTCCGTGTCTGTCAGTGTGAAGATGAGGGGGAACTCCAGAGTCACTCAAACCTCACCGATAAGAAAAACTCAGGACTTCTCTGTTGTTTTTTTTCATACAGCATCAAGCCTTTAACAGTAAACTCACAAACAGACTTACTGTCAGATCTCAGACGCAGCATGAGACCACACAGAAACCACAGAGTGTCTTCAAGGTACTTCACACCCTCTGCAGCTTTCAAGAAACATCCTGCAGCTGAGGCAGCTCGCTGTCTCATTTACTGAAGTGTGAAGCCAGGGTGGACAAAATGACGACACTAGAGGCACTTGTTCCCCCGCTGTCCAGCCGTGGAGGACACTGTGATAACCAGACCGAGCTAGGTTGTTTAATTGTGCCAAGTGGGTCATTTTAGTGTGTAAGCCATTGAAAAAACTGTGAGAGAAGTGAAACAACAAGAAAATTATGGTATTTTAGTTTGTGATATTATTCAGCTGCAGCTGTAAACTGCAGGAGCCTCTGCGCCTACCCCCAGTCTACAGATCGCTGGGCACAGTGGAGACGGTGTTCTTCTTCTGGTGTTTTTGACCGTGATCAAACAGCTTCAGTTGCATTACCTCTGTCGTGGACTAGAGTAGACCTGAAGCTGATCTGAATCAAATCAAATGTCTGTTAATGTGGCCCAACTCACTGCTCGCACTCCGGTTGAGGCGCTGAGGTAAACATGCCTCCTCTGGACCCGTCTCC